ATTGAAAGTGTGTGCTGGGTCCTGGTAGTGTTCACCGCAGCCAGTACAATAACCTGCAGGGAGATCAGCCACCTCTCCCACACCTGCATCAACTGGTAGGCCACAGGATTTCTCCAAATTCCGTCGATTGACTGAAAGCTTCAGACTTGGTCTTGTGTGAATGCTGAGTGCCTCCCACAGCGAGAGACCCATTTTATAGGAGTAGAAAATCAGTAAAACAGCTTGATTTTAAAGGTTTGCATGAAGCTCTCGCTGAGTGCGACCTTTCAGCATGGCAGCCAGGCCGGGCCTCCCTCTTACCTAGTTTTTACATCCAGAAGACTCATCCTGTGGAGCATGAGTACCACTAGCATCACAATTTTACCCTTATAGACATCGGTCTTGGCATCATAGAACCAACACACCACACTGAAGTTTCTTCAAATGTGAGCATTATTTATTATTATTTTGTATTATAGTTAATGTTTTCAAACATTTTAATGCATTATCTATATAATGGACTTAAATAAAAAAAATGGGCTATGACCTATATATAAACTTAGTCTAAACATTAAATTTTTGCTCTTATGATGATCACACTACAGTAAAGCATTGTATTCCTAATGCTGCAGTGTACCTCTGCCTCTGCAACTCTAAACCGATGGGTTGGAGTTAAAAACTTTATTTACCCTTACGACTTTCCAGCGCCGAAATCCCTAGGCACTTGATCAATCTCTTCCTCCTCATCCTTGGAAGACAGCCAACCCTGCAATGTCAACACTACAGTTTCTCTGAAACTACAATGTTTTGCATTGCAGCGTTTAGGGGACAAGGACACTGCCCCAAGACAACTACAATGAGATTAAGTGGTCTGGGTACCTATAGTGTCCCTTTAGTGCTCGTATCTACCTGGTGACAATGTTACAGTTTATCTTCATAGCTGCTCAGTTCTCCATAAATCATTTTTAGCAAACACCTACAATGCTACATACACAGCTATGCAGGCACAGGTGCCATACATTGAATGAGTTTAACGCGTAGTAGAACATGCTGCAAATAGCAATCAGTCAATGCAGGTGGTGGATGTTTTTCTACATTCCATTGCCTGTGACTCAATTTTCAGTAAGTGATTAACCATTGCATTGCATTGTCCATCAAGGTTCAACAGAGCTGAGCTTGTCTGGTCCAAAATGGCAAAAGGTATCTGCTAATGGAATAACCCCAGGCAGAGAATGCACGTCAAAGGTACGTCAAAGGTACGTCAAAGGTACGTCAAAGTCATGTCAAAGGCTGGGGATTAAAGACCATACGATCATGGTTTAATTTCATTGTTGTCATAGGTAGGAACTGCCCTGACATTAAAGTATTAAATTACACATATCTTACTCCCCCATATACCAAATAGGCAGAGGGGAACTTTTGTTTGTTTTTGTTGCTGGAAGTACTGCAGGTAACAGAGCTATTGTAGGTATTTCAGATGGTGTCAAGAACTGCTTGACGTGTGGCTTGCATTTAGTTTTTTATAAATTCTCAGTCGTTTCACAGCAAGTGATTGCCATCTAAATAAAATTAACCCCATGCAGTGCCGAACTTGCCAGCACATATACATGTATGGCTCTTGTGATGGAATGCCTGAGTGCGCATGTAATGGTATGGGATGTCTATGTGCACTTGCACATCCCCTAAGCATCATCAAGTGATGTTGCTACAAACATGGGAATGCTAGACAGCTAAATTTGTCAATTATCTCTGCAACACTATGTAGCAGAGAGGTAGTACAATCCACAATATCTCCGCTGGTAGACAGGAACAGCATACAATAATCCAGGTAGCATTACAGTAATCCCTGTAATCCCATGCAAGGGGTTTCTGGACTGGTGTTACAGGGATTTTAATCAAGGGAACTGTGTGGGAAACTGACCGTGCAAGGTCATTTCCCATCAGGCCATGCTGTACAGGAGAGATAATGGAGTAAGAATGTACTGATAATCACATTATCTCTCCGTACAGAAAACATACAATTGTACATTCAAATCCATAACTTGTGGAATACTGGGTGGAATTAGCCGAATGACTTATCATGGAGTAGCTGGGATCTGAGCGCACCATCTGGTGAAATACCGCTCCGATCCCTGCAGAAATAAACGAAAGCCATGTGAAGGACACTTTTAGGTGAACGGACATGGTAACATGATAATGCATAGAACGATGCCGAACGAGTCTCTTGAATGGCCTGGAAGTCCAGCGGTGTTCGTGAAGTCGAGTAGCCGTTTTTAGTTCCAGGCACTCGACGACCAAACAGCGCTGGGCTTTCGTGAGTAAAGATGGCCGCCGCCACGTGTTCTGCGTACGAACGGCGGCCACCTGCGAACCACATTAATTGGCTGGGGATACAATGTTGCAATAGTTTAATGGGAGACACACGACCCCCTGTGTGTGGTCTCCCATTCGGCAGTTTGTTCGTGTCACGAACAGCGATGAAATTCACTGTTCGTGAAACTACCATATGAATGCTTGTGGCTTTCGTGCCGCAAGCATACGAATGCTCTCTTTTTCTTACAACACAACAGAAGTAATATGTTACATATTACAGAAGTAATATGGGTATAAGTAGGCAGGCTTAAAGGAACAGTATATTATACATGAACACACAGTTTTAAGTGGCTAGGTTTGCCACACACTACTTACCACATTAAAGGCTTCCTTGAGGTTTACTGGGGTGACTTATCATTTCGCGATATGTGACAGTTTTACGTTAACATCTCCAGTAAAAGATCTAAAACATCTCACTTGCATATCTACCAACTTTGCAACTTTCAGAATCAGGACAAGGAGCATTCTAATGATGTGTTTTATCGCTGCTCTATCCAAAAACAAAATCAGGACGGCGGGACTGGACACCAAAATCAGGACTGCATCACCTAGAGCAGGACAGTTGTGAGACATGCACTTTGTGTGCAAAGTGTGTGCAGAAATTAGGGAACATGACATGTGAACCCAGTTATGTTTTGCCAAGCCTAACAAAGACATTTATTGGTCAAAAAATTGTCAGATGCACTTTTAGTGAAATAATAAACTTTTCTCTAAATAAGGCATAGGATTGCATAACTAATAATTTGTTCCTTGCTGCAGTTTAAATATACTAGTTTGAGCATGTATTGCTGCGGAGTCCTCTGATACATAATTAACCTAAAATGTCTAACGCGTTTTGTGCCACCTAGGGCCCTTTGCTAGGTTTCAAAACACCTTAAAGGGACACTTCTGCAGCACCAACAGGTTCAAATAATAGGGATGGATATATCCAAAATATATAGGTAAACTCGTAATGTAATAATGTAATTTAGAGATCTAATTAAGAGAGTCCACTTTTTATATTGCAATATAATCATCAGAAGAGGCAAAAGCAGAGGATTATTAATAAATATCGGCTAATCCTATTTAAGGAACTTATTTTAAAAGATATACTTCCTGCCAAACCAAAGCTTATATGTAGAGGAACAAGGAACTTGAATTCTAAGGTAGTCAGATGTGCCTTCCAAATGAAAATAAAGATAATTTTAATAATATTTAAAGGATTTTAGATGTGGTAACTGCTTAACGGAGCAGTTTAGGCACCATAAGAACTTCATCTAAATGGCCCCTGGGCGCTGTCTTAAGGGGTTAAGCCATTCTTGAACTGTTTACTCCCGAAGGTTGACCACAGCGCCGATCTCCAGGTCGACCAGGTAGCATCTGGCTTCTGAAACTGAGCTACAGGAAGTGAGTAGTGCCGCCGTCAAGGGTACAGGTGATTGGTTAGTTCGGTCACCTGATGCTCCAAGCTAATCAGTATTTCACAATTTATAAAAAAAGGTACGTATCTAAATTGAATGAATCTTTACATTTCAAAGACAAACACAATAGTAATCTGGGCTGATGATTTTTTTCTATACTATCTGTGGCGGAACCAGCCACCTACTTGAATTATTTACCCTTCTTTTGGATTGTATTCTTAGCTGGTTCGGTAATTGTAGTCCTCCCGAACAGTTAGACCACCCAGGGGAGTCGTCTGTTGTCAATTGACCCTTTTGACCTCCTTTGGCTGGGTGGCTGTTGTTCGTATGGGCGAACACGTGGCGTCAGCCATCTACAGCTCGAACACGTACAGCAGTATTTGGTTGTTGAGTGTATGGAACTACAATCAGACACTCGATGGCGCGAATACCACTGAGAATTCCACTTCCATGTAGGTTCGGTTCCATTCGTTAAAGAAGAGCGGCGTTCAGTGGGATCTAACTCCTGAACGAGGGACACATAACAAGCTTACATACGAACAGTTATATTTGTTATTTTGTTATGTTTCATACTCCCGAAAGAGACCGACCGCTCAGCCTGAATTTGTGGAACTCTTTTGGGCAGGCGCCTCGTGTGCGGAAGGTCTAAACTATACCCCGGTGGCGTTTCGGCTGCATTTGTGGGATCTGAGTGCTTTCGGGATATGTTGGGTGCTCAGATCCAGGCTATCCGGGGATATGGGACTTGAGGGGGTACGTAATTGTAGAGTGTGTATTTTGAGGTATATTTTGTAACAGTCCCCTCTCAGTTCCAGTGGGGAAATGCCCCTGGAATATCTTACATGAGACCCCTTGCATTGGGACATACATAAAAAGCTGTGTGTGGCTTCCATTAAACCAGCTGACTCCCAGAACTGTGTGTCGGCCAGTTACTGGGGGATTGGGATTATTCTGCTGAACTGCACTTTCTTCATGCTTTACAGAACACCAGTGGAGATATTGGTTTTATTATTGCAGCTCTGCTACACTATCTGAACAAGGGCCATCTTTGGGTCTCTCCAGGGCCGGACTGGGAGAAAAATTCGGGCCCGGGCATTTTTTTAACACAGCGGCCCACTAAAAAGGGGGCGGGGCAGAGGAGGTGTGTTTTGTCATCACCAATGACAAACACGCCTCCTCTCAAAGTGAGCATGTTGGTTCAATGCTCTTCCAGGGCAGACCATGCGCAGAGCTCTGCTGAAGAGCTCTAGCATGAGAAAAAAGTCCTGTATTTGTTCTGCACAGTGCAAGCAAATTTAATAACATGCTTGCACTGTGTTTCCTTGCAGCTTGTCTCTGGTGTCTCTATAAATGGATAACAGGAGACAAAAGGGCCAGGAAAGAGTATTGTGCATGTGTTTGGAGCCTGCTTGTGGTATTGCGTGTGTGTAGAGTGAGCTGGTCGTGGTGTGGTATTGTGTAATAAGGTCGGTTTTAGTCGTGTTGTGTTTGTGGTGTAATGTGATGCATATGTGGCTATGGGCTGTAGAGAATGTGTGTATTGGGATATAGCAAGTGTGTGCATACAGGCTATAGTGTGTGTGTGTTTAGGGGTGTAGTATGTGTTTGCTTACAAGGAATCTAGTGTGTGTATAGGGGATCCAGAGTGTGTATGTTAAAGGACCACTATAGTGCCAGGAAAAGATACTCGTTTTTCTGGCACTATAGTGCCCTGAGGGTGCCCACACCCTCAGGGACCCCCTCCCGCCCGGTTCTGGAAAGGGGTTAAAACGTACCTTTTTCCAGCGCCGGGCGGGGAGCTCTCCTCCTCCGATCCGCCCCGTTGGCTGAATGCGCACGTGCGGCAAGAGCTGCGCGCGCATTCAGCCGGTCGCATAGGAAAGCATTTAAAATGCTTTCCTATGGACGCTTGCGTGCGCTCACTGTGATTTTCACAGTGAAAAGCACGGAAGCGCCTCTTGCGGCTGTCAATGAGACAGCCGCTAGAGGCTTTGGGGGAAGGCTTAACCCATTGATAAACATAGCAGTTTCTCTGAAACTGCTATGTTTATAAAACAATGGGTTAACCCTAGAAGGACCTTGCACCCAGACCACTTCATTAAGCTGAAGTGGTCTGGGTGCCTAGAGTGGTCCTTTAAGAGTGTAGTGTGTGTGTGTATATATATATATATATATATATATATATATTTTTTTTTTTTTTTTTACATTTTTTTTTTAAGTATTGTGTGTGTGGTGCAGTGTGTTGGGGGGGTTCTGTGTGAATGTGAGGGGTGCAGTATGTGTGTGTGTGAGGGGTGCGGTGTGTGTGTGAGAGTGCCGTGTGTGTGAGAGTGCCGTGTGTGTGATGGGTGTGAGAGTGTTGTGTGTGTGTGATGTGAGAGTGCCGTGTGTGAGTGATGGGTGTGAGAGTGCTGTGTGTGAGTGATGGGTGTGAGAGTGCTGTGTGAGAGTGCTGTGTGTGATGGGTGTGAGAGTGCTGTTTGTGTGTGATGGGTGTGAGAGTGCTGTGTGAGAGAGTGCTGTGTGTGATGTGTGAGTGCTGTGTGAGAGAGTGCTGTGAGTGCTGTGTGAGAGAGTGCTGTGTGTGATGGGTGTGAGAGTGCTGTGTGTGTGTGAAAGTGCTGTGTGTGATGGGTGTGAGAGTGCTGTGTGAGAGATTGCTGTGAGTGCTGTGTGAGAGAGTGCTGTGTGAGAAAGTGCTGTGTGTGCTGTGTGAAAGAGTGCTGTATAAATGTTATTGTGTGTGTGTTTAGGGGGGGGGTAAATAAACCAAAACAAAAACCATTATGTTCTCCCCCCCCCCTCCCTTCTTACCTTTAGCCTGGGAGGGGGGGGGGGTCCGGCACGCTGGAAGGCAGTGTTCCCTGGTGGTCCTCGTGAGTGAGTGAACTCTAGCCTGTAAGGCTAGAGTTCACTCTCGCGAGATCCGATCGTTGCCATGGCAACGCGCCGGATCTCGCGAGAGGAACCCGGCGGAGCTGCAAGTTAGAGCTCCGCCGGGTCCTCTCTCCTGGCGGCTCTCTGTCTCCTTCCCTCCCCGCCGGCGGCCGCATTTGGGCCGGTGAGGGAGATCTTTGATCTCCCCACCTGCCCGCCCGTGGCAAACAGCGGGGCCGGCGCTACCGCGGCCCACCGGGCATTTGCCAGTCCGGGCCTGGGTCTCTCTAACTGGTAATGAGAGCACAAATCAGATATAGATATAATATAAACAGAGCCAGGATAGAAAAGAGGGACTGATGGATTATGGCCCAAAATAGGGACTGCCACTCCTAAACAGCGACCCTTGGGAGTTATGGCTGTGAAATGCTGGGTGCCATAAAATTAGCATGTAGCCAGGGAGTTAATACAAACTACATTAATGTGGCCTTGATAGGTAGGCAGGCAGTGATTTTTGTCATTAGAGAGGATGTGTCCTCAGCTAATATTCTGTATGGGCACTATTTGGAAGTCCTTGTATACCACATAATACAGCCTCATTCTCCACCATATATTTCACCAATGGGAGTTATGGATCTAGGATGCTGAAATGGTCAGGGCCAGATTTCCTAAACATGGACAGAATTCACATTAAACAAAGTAGGCACCTGCCTACAAGCTCCTGTCCTACAGAGGGGAAGTCTAGAAGCTGGCCTCCTGCCCACCGACTATTTGAAGAACTTGGACGCTCAGATCGTGGCTATTTAACAATATAAAATGTGTGGGGGTTCCTATATGTCTTATATGTATTTTTAATATTTTATGTATGTTATGTTTTTATGCTTAGTCATCCTGACTCAGAAATTCATGGACGTTTTGTGGGAGTGTTATGGGCGTGTTTGACTGTAACCCTGATGTGTATAAAAGCAGGCCATCTGGCCAGAAAAAAATGATTCCTGTTACACCCCTCATCAAGTCTAGGCTGATATTCGGGTAGCTTAGAGCTTTAATCACTGCTTCACTTGGGATTTAGGAGAACTACAGCAGATATACTCAGTCGGAGTTTAGGGGATCTGTTACATACGTGTTTTAGTTTAAATAGTCTGCTGAGGGGAGATAGGTACCAGGAGCCTTGACCAGCGTCCTCTGTAGTCCAGTCAGCCTCCTGTGTTTAATAGCAGAGCTGCAGGAACAGTTATAGAGCTCCTCCAGTGTTTGTTTGTGAGGCTGGACAGGACGTGGAAGGTTTCACTTCCCATGTGCCTCTCTAACAGGAAATGAGTACAGGAGGTGATGGGACAACATGAAGTGACTCACAAAGTATAATAGCAATCTTAGGAGGCTAGCTGGACATAGATATAGAAGGGTGAGTACTTTTCAAGTAACGCTTCAAACTCCACCTGCTCTAAACACACCTGTTGCCTATCCTTACATTTAACTCAAAACATATAAACTCTTTCTTTGGTCCCAAATTTAAGCACTAAAACTTGAAAAAGCCCTTTATGTTAATACTACATTTAACTCCTCTTAAAAACTAAACACCCCGTTGTACCCCGTCTCCAATATTAAAGGACCACTATAGTGCCAGGAAAACAAACTTGTTTTCCTGGCACTATATTGCCCTGAGGGTGCCCCCACCCTCAGGGTCACACTCCCGCCGGGCTGAAGGGAGAGGAAGCACTTACCTTTCTCCAGCACTGAGCTCCCTCGGCGCTGGGGACTCTCCTCCCTCTTCTGATGTCATCGGCTGAATGCGCATGCGCAGCAAGAGCTGCGCTCGCATTCAGCCAGTCCATAGGAAATCACAGTGAGAAGCGCGGAAGCGCCTCTAGCAGCTGTCAATGAGACAGCCACTAGAGGCTGGATTAACCCATATGTAAACATAGCAGTTTCTCTGAAATTCCTTCTCTGAAACTGCTATGTTTACAGCAGGCAGGGTTAATCCTGGATGGTCCTGGCACCCAGACCACTTAATTGAGCTGAAGTGGTCTGGGTGCCTATAGTGGTCCTTTAAATGTAACCCAACTCTAACCCTACAGTCAATAATTCTAAGCATCCCCTGTACCCAAATACTACAAATACTTTAATCTTACTTCAACAGTAAACAATCCTTATGCCCCTCTCAAGCAAGGTTTTTTGCCGCCGCATTTGCTTTTTAAAAATTGTATTTATCTATTTACACTACTTTAATGTGGGGTAGGGATGGGTGGGGGTCTTGAATCTATATAGGGACAGAAGCACTATACTTTTTGGAATACAGGTTTATATTCCTAACACTATAATGTTCCTTTAAAAGTATTTTTTAGTTTTTTTGTTTTTTTTTAAATTAAAAATGTCCTTTGTGCACAAATTCAATCACTGACACATACATACATACACACACACACACAATCAGTAACCCATGCACAAATAAATCCACTGACCGATGCAAACTGACAACCACACTGATCCATGTAGTCACACAAACACACTGACCAATGCAGACACATGCAGACACACACACATTCTGATCCATGCAGACACACACACTGATCCATGCAGACACACACACTGAAACAAACATGGACCCATGCAGACACACAAACTGACATAAAACACACACACATACTGACCCATGTAGACACACACACACAGACACAAACATACACACTGACCATACAGACACACGCTAACCCATGCAGACACACACACACTGACACAAATATACACATTGATCCATGCAGACAGACACACACAAACACACACACACACACTGACAAATGCAGGCACACACACTAACACAAACGCACACACTGACACATGCGGGCACACACACTGTCACAAACACACACACTGACACATGCAGGCACACACACTTACCTTCATTTCATATATCAGTTGCATGTTCACACACTCCTAGCATCTTGAGTGCGCCTGGCATCTTGTCACTCACTGCATCCGCCTCACTTCCTTCTGTGCTCCCGCCCACTTTTTTACCAAACACTAAACACCCCATGTAATCTAAATCTGAAGTTAGCCCCTCTCAAACCTTATTTAACCCTAACCACCTCTAACATTATCTTTAGGCTTACATGCATTTACATATATGCGTACACTTACTAATATAACACAATACATAAAAAACAGACATATGCACATACATATGCAATTTTCAAATGTCAATATCTTTTTTAGATTTTTTTATGCCTGCTATGTCCAGTTTATAAGTCAATTAAACTTGTTTTATCTGCCTTTTCTTTTTTGGTGAGGTGAGGGGGTTGGGAGGTGGAGGGAGCAGGGGACGACTTAGAATTATATGCCTACAGGCACTTGACATGTAAATTCAGCCCTGCGCATGCACAGAGCACTTCTAAAGTTTCTGAAGTACTCTGCTCAAGGTAAGTGCTTGTGATACGCTGTTTGGTGACAGTTTGCTGGACACCAAGAAAGAAATCTAGGACCCCACATTCAGTACAGTCCTGACGGATCTGGGGCAACTGGGAAGTATGCTCCCACGTGCTAAATGTGAAGAAATAAGGGTATTATTGAGAAAGTCAGGTGGAGGACTGTAATATTATAAAAAGGGAATCGGAAATAGGAAGTCAAGA